CAGCTACTCGGGAGGCTGAGGCAGGAGAATGGCGTGAACCTGGGAGGCAGAGCTTGCAGTGAGCCGAGATCGCGCCACTGCACTCCAGCCTGGGCAAAAAGAGCGAGACTCCGTCTAAAAAAAAAAAAAAGGGAGGGAGGAAGAGCTACCAAAAAAAAAAAAAAAAAAAAACAAAAAAAAAAAAAAAAAAAAAAAAAGGGAGGGAGGAGACTGAGTGCTCTATATGCTGCGGGTGGGATGGGCTTGGAATCAAGGGTTCATTTGGGGCATTCTGGGGCAAGATCAGGGAGCTACTTGGAGACGCAAGGTTGGGAGTCACTGTGTACGGGTGACATTTAAAGCTATAAAACCGGGGCCGAGCACAGTGACTCTCGTCTTACAATCCCAGCCCTTTGGGAGGCTGAAACAGGTGGATCACTTGAGTCCAGGAGTTTGAGACCAGCCTGGCCAACATGGTGAAACCCTGAACCCTGTCTCTACTAAAAATACAAAAATTAACTGGGCGTGGTGGCACGTGCCTGTAATCCCAGCTACTGGGGAGGCTGAGGCATGAGAATTACTTGAACCCGAGAGGCAGAGGTTGCAGTGAGCCGAGATCACACCACTGCACTCCAGCCTGGGCGACAGAGCAAGACTCCATCTCGAAAAAAAAAAAGAAAAAAAAATTATCAGAAAAACAAAACAAAACAGCAATATTTTTAGTAGAGACAAGGTTTTGCCATGTTGGCCAGGCTGGTCCTGAACACCTGGGTTCCCGGACTCAAGTGATCTGCCTGCCTCGGCCTCCCCAAGTGCCGGGATTACCGGCGTGAGCCACCATGCCCAGCCTGATAATCATCTCTTAACTAAATCAAGGATCAGCAAACTTTGTGAAAAGTTTGTAAATAGCAAATATTTTAGGCCTTGAGGACCAGGCGGTCTGTGTCAACTCTGCTGCTGCAGCAGGAGGCTCCTGCAGACGCTGGGTGAATGAACGCGCATGGCTGTGCTGCAGTGGGCCCTTATTGCAGAAACAGGCCCCACGCAGGGCTCGGCCTACGCGGTGTACTTTGCCTGGCCCAAGTTAGAAGGACCGCTGCCTCCTGACTGGTGCCAGTTTTTACGGTGAAAGTTTGGGAATGTGTTGCGATTTGAGCAGCCGTCCCAGATGGACAAAGAGAGCTCCTCGCACACTGCCCAGAGGTCCAGGGAAAGGCAGCCGGCCATGGAGTCCCACATGGACTCCCACAAGGCAGGTGCTGCTTCCTGTCTGATGTTGCAGAAAGCATGTGGATGGACATGGTGGGGCATGAAGCCTGAATTTAATTAGTGTGTTTAGGGCCAAAGGCCTTCTTCGGCAAGAGCACTTTGGCAGCATTATATTTGATGAAAGCAACTTTCTCTCTGAGCTGAGGTGCATGGATTTGGTTTCCAGGTTCTCCAGTCACTAGCTGCATAACCATGGAATCAAACCTTTTGAAACCTAAATCTCTGCAGCAAGAGTAATTCTTCCAGCTCTCTGTATCTTCCTGCCGAGTACCTCCAGCATTCCGAAGTCATGGCTTGGATGTTTTGAAACTGCTCAGAGGAAGGGAGTTATCTGTGCAACCAGCTTAACGCAGAAGGTAGTCCTGGCTTGGAAAACGCTGGTAATGCGCTGGGCGCGTGACGTTTTCCAGTGGTGCTTTGAGAAAGCCTCTTTGACAACAGCCCCTTTGAGGTGGTGGTTTTGATGTGGGATCATTTGGATGGGACTGTTCGGCTTTACAAAAGTCATTCACCAGTGTACAAAGCCAGCAGCCTCTTCCATCCCTGAATAGGGCCAGGGAAGGGGGTGCAGGTCAGGAAGGGGTGCTCAGGGTGGGGGCTGACCACCGCCTGCCAGACAAGGCCTCATCTAATTGCCACAACTGCCCGTCACAGAAAGGACCCCTGACAGTCCCGTGCGAGCATCTGTGCATGCTCTCACAATCGGCTTGCATCTTGAATGGGTGACATCCTCAATTCTCCATTTCTTAAAGTTAAAAGACCTTGCGTGTGTGCTGCGCCTGGGGCAGAGGCAGATACTTAAACCACAACATCATCCTTTATTCTCAGCTCTAGGCTGCACAGGAAATCCCCAATTAGATGTGTGAGAGTCGCCTCAGGACTCTTAATAATGCACATACATTACAGCCAGCATCACAGAAGTCCCTTTAAAAGACGGTTTTAGGGACAGGGCTAGGACCCCTTTATAGATTAGCCTCCTTCTTACAGGCTTTTTTTTCTTTTTCTTTTTCTTTTCCTTGTCTTAGACGGAGTCTCCAACCAGGGCTGGAGTGCAGTGGCACGGTCTCGGCTCACTGTAGCCTCCACCTCCCAGGTTCAAGCAATTCTCCTGCCTCAGCCTCCCTTTTTTTTTTTTCCTCTTTGAGACAGAGTCTTGCTCTGTCACCCAGGCAGGAGTGCAGTGGCATAATCTCGGCTTTCTGCAACCTCCGCCTCCCAGGTTCACGCAATTCTCCTGCCTCAGCCTCCCGAGTAGCTGGAATTACAGGTGCCGGCTACCATGCCCGGATAATTTTTGTATTTTTAATAGAGACGGGGTTTCACCATGTTGGCCAAGCTGGTCTCGAGCTCCTGACCTCAGGTGATCCTCCCACCTCGGCCTCTCATAGTGCTGAGCCACTGCACCTGGCCTAGGCTTTTAATCATTTGTTCATTTTTTCAGACTAAAAAACAAGCAATAGATACAAAACTCTTAATGGCAAAGACATGAACCAAACAGGAACTTGTTTTACCGTTTATGTGGTGGTTTGGTGAGATGCTTCCGGAAGCCTGCCAGGGTCAGAGTCCTCCCGGGTCTGCTGCATCATTCCCGTTCGTTGTGCCATTTCATTCTCAGGAGCACCCTGTGACATGTATCAGGGCCTTACTTTGGGTCACTTAGCCAGAAAGTGAAACAGGTTCCACGTGCTAGGCTGGTGGGCCGAAGGCGACGCCACGCCACACCCAGTGCCAGCTGCTCATGTCCAGATCCTAAGGGGGCCTCTGCGCTGTTCCGCCCCTGGGTTTGCTGTCTCAAACAGTGGGCCTGGCTGGGGACCAGGGAATGGGCCGTCTCTTGATGAGAGGAAGAGAGGCAGTGTCTAGAGCTTGTTGTGTTTTATTGTTCCTGTGTTAAATGTGTGTTATATTGCTGTAAAATCGAGCAGAACACACTGACATGAAGTAAAGAGGAAGTTGCCTTCTCTACCTCTCCCCTCCCTCTGATTCTGCTCCCTGGGGTGACCCTCAGTCGTAGTGGGATATGTCATATGCTGGGGGTGGGCATCTGCGCACGTCTGTGTCCATGCATGTGTGTAGGCTTGTGTGTGCATGCACAGACACACACACGCACACACACAGCCTCTGCTGCTGTTTTCACCCATGAACTTACTGGGCTCAGCCACGTTGCCGATCCTTCTTTATGTAGATTTAGCTCATTCTTGGGAAACATCTTCGCTGCCTCCCTTTTCCCCATCCTCATTTCAGTGGATCGTTAAGTCCTGACAGTTTTCACCTCTCTCTGATACTGTTGCAATGTATCCCTTCTCCTCATTCTTTCTCTGTCCATGGGGCCAGCTTCCCTCCACTAAATCAGACTCTCTGTGCCGGGCCAGGCTGGTCCCGGGATCTGCATTGCAGCAGCTGCCTGGGTGGTTCTCAGAGCCCTGGAGCTTGAGGACTGCTGGCCCTGAGGGAGAATCCGGGCTCCTTCATATGGGCTTGAGACCCTCCTGCTACCTCCTTCCGCCCACACCCATGCCGCCTGCTTGCCAGCCTTCCTGACCCTCCCAGGACGCCCTCCCTGACCCTGGCCGCACCCAGCGCTCCTCTCTCTCCTGGGCCCTTATGGAGCCGCCCTGTAGGCCTCTCTGTCCACTCGCCAGAGGGGATTGCCGTGGGTTGTTCATGCCCTTCCTGGGTGGTCCATTCCCGACTCACCTTCCGTACCTGGCATTGTCGACGTGCAGCGAGTGAAAAGTCTGACCTGACAGAGCCAGTGGGTGGGGTTGGGTCTTCTGGCTCTGGGACTGGTGCCCTGAGCCAGGGATGGGCCTTACTGATGGGAGAGCGAAGGGCTCCTGCGTGCCCGGGTGGGCTCTTCTTCCATCAGCAGGTGGCGCTGTCCCCCTGGTCTGCCGTAAGGACTGCGAGGGAGGGAGCCCTGTGCCCCCTCTGTCCTTCCCTGGGGCGATGGCCGTGCCTCAGGCCAAGGTGCGTCTGCTGATACCCGGCCCTCCTGTCCCTTCCCTTGCCAGGATGCTGGTGGAAAAGTACTCAGTGTCCCTGCAGACCATCCCGCTGGTCCATCCAGGTGAGACTGTGTTTCTGCCCAGGCGTCACTCCCTGCCATGCATCCTGGACTCCTCACACCTGAAGCCACGCAGTCACCTGGAAAGGCTGTTCCTCAGGTAAGTGTGGGGAGGAGGGGTGAGGGGGTGGCGCAGCCTGTCCAAGACCCCTCCCTCCTGGAGTCCAGGGATAAGGGCCACCTGAAAGGGGGAAATTTGAAGAGGCGATCGGGCCAATTTGAATGTGTCAGTTTTTAGAGAGATAGGTGATGATGTCTGCTTACAGTATGTCATTTACTAATTTTGTTGCACATAATGGAAACATTCCCACATTATAGCAAGTAGCCAGTTGTTCATTTACAGGTTCATGTTGCTTTTTTCTCCCCTAAACCCCAGTGTCGCAGAACAGCAGACTCACCATGCGTGTCTTGGGGCTGGGTCTCTGTCAGCACTGGCTCCTTCCTGGGCCATCCAGGGCATGTAATGGGCCTTTCCACCTACTTGTTGGAGGGACTTCAGTGTGTGATGCTGACACTGAAAAGCCTGTCCCCAGCCGCAGGCACACACTCTAACAATACAACAGCTGTCTTATTCTTTGTGGGAGTAAATTCATGATCATTATCACATAACCATTGACTATATTGCTTTTTGAGAGAATTTTTAAAAGATTTACCACAACCGTATCCAACACTTGGAATTAGGAGCTAATATATCCAAGAAGAAGAGGAAGGAAAGCCCGCAGGGTTCAGTGCAGCGGCGTCTGCTGGGTGCTCACACAGGCTGGTGCCCTGTGGGGCTGGAGGCCAGGGCCGTGGAGAAGGGGCTGTCCTCGCCCACCCAGTGAGGAGCAGAGGTGGAGCTGCTTCTGTGGTCTCTTCAGCCACCTTAGGACTTGAACGCCAGAGTCTTGCTCTCTTTTCCAGTTTTACAGGGCTTATGTTTATTTCATGAATTCCAAGTCCATCTTATTGTATGATACAAGGTTACTTTTAACATTTTCATATGCTTTCTTTAGAAGTTTTTATCGTAGGAAGTTAACAAGTACAT